CTACGTAGGCTAGATAATTCAAGAATAGAAAGAGGTGACCAAAATTCAGACATAAGAATTACATTTAAATCAAGTAGAGTATTCCCCCACAAGGTGGGATCAAAATCCTTTTCATAACGATCACAAACCTAAAGCGCCCATATACAGTCCGAGTTAACAATGACCATGGTGTAGAGTCTGGCAGAAAAACGTATAATATCTACAAAGTTATTTAAAACATACATTTACTATGCGGTTAAAGGCGCTTTCACAGTCAATTGGGGGGTTGAAATACAAATGCTTCCATCAAAATAGTTCACGCAGTCAAGAACAACCTACCTTAGATAATATGCTTTCGTCTCTTGTGCAATAGTGAGGCCTTAATCATTCAGTTAGAAAAATCAGAGTTATGTACACAAAAGCAAATTATTCAATCACTTTCACCATCATGGCAACAACTACGTTAAATACTGCTGACTTGACGTTTGTTTGCCTGCATTTCTCACTCCTTATAGCTATTGTATTTGTTCATAACTCATATTTTGATGATGTAAAGAACAACTGAGACTAATTTTTATTCTGTTCTGACAAAACTAATGTAAGCATGTATAAAAAAAAATAAGTAAATGTATTTGTGACTGTATAGCTAACTGAATTCATTCGACGAGAAGAAACTCTTCACTGAACTACATGTTTTGTTTTTCATTTATTATATAAAATGGAATTCCATTCTATGACCGTTTTTTTATGATGATAGGTAGTGGTGTAATTTGATGTTCATTAGAATCCATTTCCACTGATCTAACTTGCTGCTTGTGAAGTTTTGAGTTTGGAGCATCTTTCATTCTTCCTGGAATGACAAAACCTCATATTTTGCATTGTATATACTGAAGAATGATTCCATACTATAGTTTGCAAACGTCTACGTCATTGCTGTTCGGTACTTTCACAAGGTATTATCAAACTTTCCACAATAACAGTATGAGGTTATATGTATGTGTGTGAGAATCCCACTGCATTGCTTCCGGAGGATTTCTATCTGATCTTGATAGACTTCAGGTTAACTTGTAATGAGTCCCATAGAAAATCTAACCACATTTTACAGATGCATAATTTATTTTGAACACATGAATGTGCATGTGGTCGATGACACCATGTTTAACAACAGAAGGCAAGACATGAAGACCGAAGTATATTTCTCATTAATCAAACCGCTGTTTATACATCTACAGTTTATGTTTGTTAACCAGTCGTTGAACGTGTGATTTTGGTTTCGATCATACAACATGAAATATACTGTTCAAACAGACACATTATTCTGAGGCTAATGCAGGATATAACCATGGGAAGTGTATGCTGCATCTAAAATCAAATCAAATGTTCAGACAGATACATTCTATGCAGTAGTGTACTATTGGAATATATATGAGCAAAATATTCCGTTGGCACACATTGCGCGCATTACACCTCCACACATATTAGTTATATTGTGACTATTTCGTATCGTAATAATAGAAGACAAGGGGTACAGATCGTTTATTAAGGAAATCAATATATATTTATGGATTTTCATGTACATTATTATAGATTATTGTTAGCAGAAAAACACAGTATTTTGATTAGTTGTTTCTCACTGAAAGTTAATTTTTTATCTCTTTGTGACTGTTTCTTGAATGTCAGATCATCTGTAAGCTAACTGTATCCGCCTACGCAAAGCCTTTGTCCTCATGTTTCTCACGACCAATATTGAGGACATAAACATTGACGTAAATTACTGTTTACCAACTTTGGCTACCAGCCAGTTCTCACCACAGTATTTGTTAGTGCGCTTTAAATGAAATCCAATTGGTTTAATCCTAATGTTCAGTACATGTTTCATTTGCAAATTTATGCAGCTCAGGATTTCCTTATTTCATCCGAGAGACAACAGCAAATTTTTGACGTAAGCGTCAGTGGTACAGCGGTTAGGATTCTCGCCGACCATGCACATGGACCGAGGTTTTATCCCCTGCAAACGCACACCTGATATCTATGGTCGGCCTGCAAATTTGCGCTACCAATATCTCATGCTGAAAATTCCATACTTGTACCAAAAATACAGTGTGGAATCAAGCTGTAATAAAGAACCTGTAGTGAATATGTCTACACGAATTGCATGAATGTGACATTGTGGAAAATATTATCATGTAATGTCGATTAGTAAAATAATCGATGTAGCTAAATATAATCACCGATATCATTGGATGATATTTGTGTTGAATGGTGAATTGAAGGTGTCTAGAATTCATGTGTCATTCTGGTTTATTGCTTTTCCGGAGATTTCTAAGTCATATCAGTCCCCTAACACATTCATATCCCCAGCTGTATACTGTGGAGTAGAAATGATCATCTAAGGACTCAAAACTGAATATATATTGTGTTGATTTGCTCACAAGCCAATGCATTCACTATTACTTTGTACTTATTCTTAAGGAGGACTAGAAATAATCATCAGAGGAAAAGATTTGATGAGTATACTCCGAATTGAATAGATCGTATCACATTCAGAAAATTAGAAACCAACAGAAAGGGTGGTTAGTATTTGACTACCTTGTTTGGCGAACAAAAACGCAGAGTAGCCAATGGCACGTAGCAAACTAATGGGGAAGAGAATTTTCTTCTAATCTCCTCCCACATTAATAATGCAAATGATTCGATAGTAACAGCCGGTAGCGTAGAATGAACATGATTGATGAAATCGCGTGAACTTGTGGAATTCGTTCATGTTGGATTCTTGAGAAGCTTGTCGAATTTATCTTCAAAACACACATAAAGCACATATTCACAAAAAATCTCAGTCGTGAGTAGAACGTTTAACTAAGTGGAAAGCAATGTCTTATTCAAGTAGACTAACTCAATCCTGTGGTAGCCGAATGATCCTGATGAAGCTATGAAGGAAAAATGACCCTGTTTACTAAATAACATAGAATGACATTTTGTCTTATAGTGGATTAATGCAGTTGTATGTTTCAGTTAAAGTATTGCAGACACTATTATATAAGTTTAAATAATATACTCTTTCTAGATGAAATTACCAAAACATACTAAGCTACAAAGCCTATTATTATAGTGACAAAATCAAATTAATGTGCACTAAATGATCGGAACAAAATGTTTAGTGATGTGAGTTGCTGAGAGACAGAAAGCGAAACAGTGGGTTTAGATATGAAGTACTGAGCTGAATGAAGATTACAATTCTTCGTGCAACTATTACAACAATTGTTGGAATGAAAACTTTCGTAAGAAAGACAGATTCGAACTGACTGAAGCGATTAGAAATAGAATACTAAGGAATGAATTGAATATCAAATGGAATGGAGTGTAGTTGCGGTTGTGTATGAAAAGTGAACAAAAAGCTGGGTAGACTAAAAACTGAGGTAAACTGACAGGAAGTGGTCTGTGGAGCGCGTTCATCGTTTCAATCGATTGGATTTTAAAAGGACACAGATATTAAGCGGAGGTGGGAATTGTAAGCAAGCCTAAGTTTGTCTTCAGTGTAATTTTCCTTTTGAACACCTTGAATGTAATCAAAAACCGAAAGTATTGAAGATCCATCTATGCAAATATTTTTTGGGGTATCTACAATAATCTGTTTTGTTTGCTTGCTTTCGTTCAGTAAAAAGTAACAAAGTGCCTTTATCTGTTTCGGTTTTTTTAACTCAAAGAAGCGTAATTGTTGGAATGCGAGAATAATAACTTCGAGAAAAATGAGGACCTTCGGACTTTGGAATGCATTAGAAAACTACAAAACTATCATTCAGTCAGCATGTTTGACTTCGATAGACGAAAACTATGTCGACACACATTTTAAGCCACACGATCCACATAACTGGTGCAAACCATGATTTGATGTCTGAAACTGAAGCTGGATTGAATACAATTCAGATCATACTGATGACAAACTTGACCAGTTTAATGAAAACTACTTTCCAGCGCATCGTGGAATTAATTTGGTGATAGCATTTTTAACACGACAGCATTTGTAAGTATAATATTATTTTCAAGTATTGGTTTTGTAGGGATTTTGTTTGATTGCATGGAGGATTTAATCATGAGCTGACATCAGTCCCAGTGGCTCAATGGTCTACGAGCTCGCCTTGTAACCAGAAGGTCCTGGGTTCGAAACCCGGTGGGTGCGTACTGATGAAGAGTCCCAAACTAGGACGAAACAGCTGTCTAGTACTCCCAGGTTTTCCAGTGGTTCTCTAACTGATGTCAGCTCATGATTAAATCTTCCATATAATACTATTGACATTTTTTGTGATTAATTACATTCATGTGAAGTCATCATCGTCCTTATTCGATCATGATTATCATTAGGCAAAGTCTTTCTAGACGTGTAGCGGATAGACGGCTGAAAGATGATTTCGTAAATTCGATTGTTGACTCAGGAAACCTTTGTTTAGCGGAAGATTTATTTTTTAGGCGAGGGGTAGAAAATCCTAATGTGTTTGCTCGAATATCGTATTATATTTTTCATTATGATGAAGTCAAACCTTTTCGAAATCTACAGAAAATTCACATCTTCCATCAAAATAAACGACTAGATTACCGGAGAATATTCACTGCAGTATGCCAACCGTGGAGGTAATTTATTTGTGTTCAAAGGATCTACGTTTTACACTGAAGTCACTGTGTATTTCATCTAACTCATTCAGTGTTTTATTGTATCACCCTAGTTCGATATTTATTGTTCACACTGAGTCTATAAGAATGACTTACATTACTCAATGGTATTCAGTATTACTTACAATTGCGAAGTAAATCCAAACGAAGTATATTTTACCAGCGAAAAGAAGATGGTGGAGTTAGACAATCAGCTGACCTCACAGAAGTACAATCACTAAGACTACCGCATTACACATACACACACAGATGACTACATGGATGTGACTACAAGTGAAGCTCCCGCCCAAAAGATTCACGTGAATAAAACTGAGGAAGAAAACAATACAGAAAGTCACTAACATTTATCAAGCTTTTATTTAACGGGTAACAATACGATGATACATTTCACTTCAAGGCACAACTCTCCAAATCACAAGCAAATGACTCTTAACATATCACATCGACTCCGTTTTCCTAATCATCTTTATCATCATCGTCCTTCTCATCTTCATCTTCTTCTTTCTCTTCCTTACCATCCTCATCCTTTTCACTCTTTCCCTTCTGTTTCTTCGGCTTTCTTTTGTCCTTCTTTCCCTTCATCCTATCCTCATCCTTCTTCTCTTTCTCCTCCTCCTCCTCCTTCTCTTCCTTTTCCTTTTTCTCTTTTTTCACTTTCTTGTCGTCCTTCTTTGTCTTTACTACTTTCGCCTTCTTCTCGCCCTTCTCTGCTTTGCCCTTCTTAACATCCTTCGTTACCTTGGCTTTTTCAGCCTTCTTTTCCGCAACCTTCTTCTCGTTCTTCTCTTCCTTCTGCTTCTTTACGTCCTTTTCTGTTGCAACCTTCTTCTTACCCTCCTCCTTTTTAACCTTCTTCTCACCCTTTTCTTCTGTTACCTTCTCCTCGCTCTTCTCTTCTTTCTCCTTCTTTACACCCTGCTCTTCTTTCGCCTTCTTCTCACCCTCATCTTTCTTAACCTCCTCTCCGCCCTTTCCATCTGTTACCTTCTTCTCGCTTTTCTCCTCCTCCGTCTTCTTCACATCCTTCCCTTCTGGCCCCTTCAACACATCCTTCTCTTCCTTGGCGTCCGTCTTTGCAGCAGTCTTCCCAGACGTTTTACTTGCATTCGAGAATTTCACAGTCACTGGAATTGGAAGGACAAAAATCGCAATTAATACAAATACATGCATTCGTTATACATCAAGATAAATGTTAATTAAATTTTAATTAAAGAATAATGAGTGATTGTCAAATTAGCCTCTGGAGTACTCACTGCTGATACATCCTTGTCGTGAGTCTTCCACGGGAAATTTGCTCGATGTCAACCACACTGGCAAGAAATGATATTTGAATGAATGATTGTGTGTTCTACACTCGGAAACATTGAATTCGCGATGGCTGACAGTTAAAAGAAATTGTGGATGTTAAATATTGCCATGAAAGTGTCAACATTAGTGATGACGTTTGTGACAAAGAGTTAGGATGTTGGATGTGTGTGGTTGATCGAATGAGAAAATGTGACCGTAAAAATATTTCTCAGTCAATAGTCAAAAATGATATCCTGTCTTACGTGAAATCTATAGGTCGATATTTTGAATATTCCTTGTGCTAATTAAAAATGAACACTGTTAAAGCAGCATTTACTGTGTTTTCATGACAGAATTTCTCATTCATTTACCTGGTGACTTTCAGAAATTAACTCACACAGTCAATCGTTTTATCCGGCACTGAAGTTTGTCAAAATGAAAATACAATTCTTAATCAAACGGGATCTCGGTAATGAATATATGGTGAGTCATACTGTGAACAGTAAACACACCAGATAAGAAATAACTCATAACTTGCTATCGCATTGCTCAGAATAATTGACATGGAGTGGCTGCAAGCGTTTGATTTCAAAGATAATTATTATAGAATCAACAGTGTGTGTATGCATTAATAAACTGATGAACAAACCTACAATGTGAAACGCGATGTTCACTCTGTCCCATTAAAATTGAAGTTTGAAATGCAGATACTGGCAGTTGAACGATTATTAGATGCACACCTGATGGATGCGTTTTCGAAGAATACTCCTAATATGTCGTAAGATGGTTAGACAAGACAGTTACAATCAGAATAAAATGAGTAGAAAAATGTGCGACTTAGTCCTTTGGTTTTATTCTCACCTAGTCGGTGTACTAGGGCGTCGGTGGTATAGCGGTTAGGACGCTCGCCGACCATGCACATGGTCTGGGGTTCGATCCCCGGCCGACGCACACCATCACCTCTCTAAGCCAGAAATAATTCTGGTAAAGAGCAAAGGTTGGGCATGAGGCTACCAATCCCATTCTGCAAAATAAACTCTGCGACAGAAACTTTAAGCTACTAGCTTGAAGCTCTATGTTCCACTGGGGAACGTGAAGGAAAATTTATTTATTATTATTTTATTTTTAATCGGTGCTTATTTCTTTCCAGTAAATATTTTTGCATATTTTATTCTGAATCGGGCAATTTTCATGCGTCATGTAACTTGATTCCTCCTACATTTAACTCTCACTCACACAAACGAGAATACGCACCACTTGATTCATATAGCATGGACATTTGAGTTGTTTTCATTAAGACTGCATTTTCCTCTAGTCGTCATAATGCCATCGTAAGTAGTTCCACGTAGTTCTACTTTATCCTGTGTGCTTTCTCTCATACGCTTTTGGTTTGAAATGAATAATTTTAATACAAACATATGCTGAGTTGTGAATAATACAGCAAGTGATACAAAATGGTTCCACAAATCAATACATATGACTCACCTTCCTCGTCATAATATGCTGACGGTTCCTCAACTTTCTTAACAGGCTTCATGTCGACAAGTTGTGGCGCCAGAACACAAGCCATGATGATGCACAATATTGACAAGTGTTTCATTCTTATGAGTCTGAAATTACAAATAAAATCATCAGAGAGCATTTTACATTTGAATATAGTAAAAATTAACATAATTTAGCAGATATATCAAGCTGATTAGATTTGGAACTAATGCAGACTAAAGAAAGTCGAGATAATACTGTTTCACATTCCACTTCAAACCTACAACACATGGTTGTGACTGAGGAACTGACTTTTTTTTTGATTTTTATTTTTGATTACAGCTTGATTCCACACTGTATTTTTGGTACAAGTCTGGAATTTTCAGCATGGATATCGGTAGCCCAAAATTCGCAGGCCGACCATAGATATCAGGTGTGCGTCGGCGAGGGCTCGAGCCCCGGACCATGTGCATGGTCGGCGAGAGTCCTAACCACTGTGCCACCGACGATGTGGTCGTTTGAAGCAGCACTCAGCTGATGTGGTAGAACAGTTGGATTGAGAAGTGAAGTGTAAGACACATATGTGTGCATGAAACATGGAATTTAATTGTTTAACTTACAGGTTGTTTGCTGATTACTGATGAGTTGAATGGTGTGTCAGGCATGCATTTATTTATATATATGCATTCATACATGAGGTGATTGTCAAGCGGTTAGTTGAGCGGTGGGTTTTGTCACATAAATCAATTCTGTATGTCAATACGTTGTCATTTTCGTACAGATCTTGTGGCCCCAGGTCATGAGTTATGGTTGATTGACCTCGATAAATGCTGAATGGATAAATTATCCACTCCATCTGTTCTATCTCATGTTATTTCGATACGTTAATTGTGTATTGATGCCGTTGTGTTATGTATTTTGCACAGTTAAATGGTGAAGATTTCATTTTCTCTCTCTCTGTGTCTAAACGAAATTTTTGTCGTTGACTTCAATATTCACTCTTAATTATTTGCTTGAATGATTGATTTTATTCGTGTCTGCATTCTAGCTTTAGTTCTCAAACCACTCCAACACTATGGTGTGTAAAGCTTGAAACATTATCAAGCTCATTCAACAGAAAAGTACAACACTGGCATGTGTCAGGTGATCAACAAAAAAAGCTGTTAAAATGAATCACAGAATAAGACAAGACCGCATATCATTACACATTATGCTTTTATGTGTTATATCTTGGGAAGCAAGAGGAGAGGGATATTTTTGGTGGAGAAAAAGACCCTAAGAGATATGGATTTCACAAATCATTTATGTTCATTGTCATACAGACCAACAAACTGACAGAAGCATCAGGCGATGATGAAGATTACCAAAGAACAACAACAACAACAGAAATAGTCAGTACCAACCACCATAAAGTGGAGCAATTAAACAGAGGTCATCTGCTTCACTTATCCAGAAGGCATTGTCTGAACTACAGGCAGAACAGACGAAGATGACAAAGTAAATTCTCTGAGCTCCGCATGAACACTAAAATACACACTTTCAACACTATTGGTAAGCCATTCAGTTCTTCTAAATGAGACAGAAACCTGGCTAACTGGTTACAAAAGGCTTTTGCAGCTATTGCCTTCGTAGTCTTCATACTGAAGAACAAATAGACAGAAAGAATCAGCAACAAGCAACTATGAGGACGATCAACAAACAAGTAGAAGAAGAAAAGAGAGATGGATAGATCACATATTGAGGTGACTGTTGGATGACGTCGTGTACCACGCTATCCCTCAATTGAAACCTGAGTGACAAGAGACGAGTAAGTCATCCCAATGTGACATGGTGGAAATCACGTGAGTTGATGGGGATGAAAGATTATGGGTAGTCTTGCGTCAAGCTAGAGCGGCCAACAAAAAATAAGGAGAAGCGGAGATTTGTCTTTGAAGCCTATATTCCACTCAGTACCCAACGGAACATTAGTAAATTATAATAATAATTACATTATGGCTTATTGATTCTGCTTATTTGTCAACTATTGCATCGGACCATTTGATGATAAAGGGTGACGATGCAGATATCTAGGTGTAAATCAGTTTGAATAGACTTCTGTGGTGAGTGATATTTCTAAGTGTTTCCAAATGTTTTCCAGTATTCCACCGACTGTCATTCACTATGTATTCACTGAAGATGGAGAGGTTGGTAATTATGTCATTCATATTCGCAACGGTAATAAGACCTTGTGCAGAATGCTGGTGAAGTATGTAGTTATTTTTTTTAAATAATTCATTCTCACTTTATCTTTCTGAAGTTGACTTTTCTGAATTTTCAATTGTGCTGTTCGATCCCACAGGAGGGATTGCGTCGATGTTGGTGAAGGTAAACAGAGGAAACTTTAGAGTAATCTAAGATGTCGAAAATTTCATAACGATATTAGAAACGTGATGCAAAGAGAATATGAAAAGTTTCCACCTGTTAAAGTCTTTAGCAACAGTCACAAGAGTGAGATAATAAGAAGAACATCCCTGTAGAAGAGTATTTATTTTTTTGTATTACAGCTTGATTCCACACTGTATTTTTGGTACAAGTATGGAATTTTCAGCATGGATATCGGAAGACCAAATTTTGCAGGCCGACCACAGATATCAGGTGTGCGTCGGGAGGGGATCGAACCTCGGACCATATGCATGGTCGGCGAGAGTCCTAACCACTGTGTGGAATAGTATTCACAGTATGGGAGAATTAAGCATGTATAGGCTAATAAAGTAGGGCTGATGAGGCTTGCACATAAAAGTGAATTAGACAAATAAGAATATCAATATCAGAAAAGATTATGATCAGTAGGACACATATTTGTGTGATGAGGGCTTACTGCTAGCTAAAGTTGGTAGACAGTAATTTACGTCAATGTTTATGTCCCCAGTATTTGTCGTGAGAAAAGTGAGAAGGTGGATACAGTTAGCATATAGATGATCTGACATTCAAGAAACTCCCATAAAGAGATGAAAGATTAACTTTCTGTATGAAACAACCAGTCAGAGTAATGTGTTTTTCCGCTAACAATAATGTATAATAATGTACATGAAAATCTATAAATATGTGTTGATTTCATAAATAAACGATCTGTTGCCTTGTCCTTGTCTTCTGTTGTTACATTTGGTGTGTTATTCCCCAGCGAAAACTGTTGAACGGTGTGTTCTTTGTAGGCCAGAACGCTTTACACTAAGTTTTGGTATTTTTTTTCCTTTACATTCTCAATTGAACATAGGGCTTCAAGCTAGGGGCTTAAAGTTTCTGTGACAGGGATGATTATTTTTACAGAATGAGGTTGCTAGCCCCATGCGCAGCCTTCAATTTTTAAAAGTCTTATTACGAACTTAGTAAGGAGAAAGAGTGCGTCGGCGGGGGATCGAACCTCGGACCAACAGTGTGGCCGACAAGCACTCTACCGTTGTGCCACTGACGCACTGTTTAGGCATAATGTAAAACGACAGGTAGCCGACATGTAGTCTGACTCTTTGACAGTCCGTTAAAGGAAGGGATTTGAATCCTGTTAAAAATAGGATACAATTATATCATTCTAGAATGTCGGTAGGCGAACATTTGGTTGTTCATGAAAATAATGAAGGTTCCAGAAATAACTTAAGTCGTTATTAATACAAGGACAACCTGCATGAAGTGGAATTTCCAAAAATCAGTAGAAGTGAGTCTGTATGAAGTTCTTGTTTGAAAGGATTCAATTTGTTTTCTAAAGCCATAATAAATGATGGTGATAATCAAATAGTGAAAGAAGGATATGCTTCGAAATTATTCGATATCGTTGTAGTGAACAGTTTACGTTTTATCTGTAATGCGTATACTGTCAGGGATATGAATAACTTGATTGCAGAGTGGGGTTAGTCAGCAAGCAGTTGAGTGGTTTGAGCAAAGAGGAGAGAGTTTGTACTCTGCTGAAGATTCCATATAGCCATCGACACAAATGTATTACAGTTGATTATACAATACAACACTAAGTATTTGCATCAGTTATGCATGTGCATGTGTGTTGACATTCTGTCAGTGACTGTTTGCACTAAATCAGATAAATCGGCTAACATTGTGTTGATATTATACCACAATTCCATAGTCACACTGTGGAAGCACCACTCTTGTTGGTATAGAAAAGTGGCAAGTGAAGTTAATAATTAATAGGGTAAATCACTGTGAGGCTAAATTCATTAACCAATTATTCGACATCAAGTACATCATATTATAGTACACGAAGTGAATTATTCGGTTGTACGAACTGTGTAATAAAACCAAAGGGTTTATAGGTAAACCATAATTTATGTTTCTTTTTCTATGCTCGCAGTATGACACCTTGGAATCAACTAACTCAATCAGGAGATACAACATCTGCAAGGACTGGACCTTGGTGAATATAATAAAAACTGTTAGAATACAGTATACCCGCTAAGATTCCTCAACTACAGAGCAAAGTCTCTTTTTGGCAGGAAAGTTGTCCCTGAATATTACAGCAACGATTTCGAACTTTGGAAGTTCCGTATGTGATCCATCTCTGGCGGCTTTTTCCCACAAGATTAGTATAAACACAAGGTTAGTGCTGACAAACGAGCAGCTGTTCTGTTCAATCGCTGTGCGTTTCTTGTTCGTGAACATCTTCAGCGACAGCTTGCACCCAATGAAAGATTGCTTAGGAACAGACTGCAGCTGATCTGCCTATCTTCATTCCTTCTTGAACCACATGAAATATAGAGCATCCTGTGCCTTCCATACACTGTCAAAAGCTAGTAATAATAATAATTTGCTTTATTCCAAGGCAGTATTTGTGATACAGAATAAAATTCTCAGCATTTCACTACAGTATTGTATTGCATCCAGTTTGTAAATTAACAATAGATAAAAATCTACATAAAATGTGGGAAGTCTCAGTTAACTTTGACAACTTATTAGCATATCGGTAGCTAAGCCAAAAGTGAACAAAGTGTTTGAAGGTGTTAGAAAAGTAGATACTAGCATATATAATGGCGTAAGCGGTAACAAAGGTCGAGATATACAGAGTGTCAGAGAACGAAGAATCTTTTAATAGAGTTAGTAAGAAAGAGAGAAACAAAACAGCACATAACATAAAATAAAAGAGAGAGAAAAGTAAGAGAAAGAAAAGAAACGCTGTAACTATAATTGATTTGAGTTGGAAAGGCGAGATCCAATTGTTCTACTGACTATTTAATAAGTTAAAGGTATTAGGTCTAATGCTTTCTTTATCGCACAGAAAACGAGCTAAATAGGATATGGTTGAGTTTTTGTACTTACTAGTGCGGGCATATAGTTTCCTATATAGGCTTCTGGTTTTCCCTGAAGAGATACAAGGGGTGAGTTGTGAATGAAGAGGGTGGAGTGAGTTAGATAAAATGGATTAAGCCCATATTTCACATGAGTCCATGTGCCTGTTAACTAGAATATTAACAAGCTGGTTAAGTGGCACATAGCTTACCCTGCTGACAACCTTTAACATCCTGCGTAATAAGGTATAGTCTTTCTTCAGTAGCCCAGGATAAACTAAAGGGGAACAATAGAGAGTAATAGGCAGAATGCGAGAGTCAACGAATTGTAGGAGTAAGGGTTGGGTTATACCAGAATGTCTTAACTTCTT